TTCTCACTGATAATCAACAATTTTCATCTGACATTCTGATTTTCTATTTTAATTTTGATTTCCAGAAACTTTACCAGCCCAGAATAATTTGATTTCGACACCAATTTTGATGTCGTCAGGAATTTCCACATCAAATCCCCCAAATTCATTGTTCACCCAGTATATTTTTAAAATATATTGTTAAAAATGAACTTAAAGTTCCAAATTTCAAATTTTTAATCAAAATATTTTTATTTAAATTGTATACTCGTATCTTCTCAATTTTCTTCTATTCACTCAACTACAGTTTATAGCTAAAGAATCAGTTAGCTCACTCGGATCATTTGGATGTTCCAAAATAACATCCACTCCAGGGATACAAATTCAGATGCGCAGAAGATTACTGTTTGAATATAGGCGGTTATCATATATTGTATTTGGTTATAGTAAGAGAGCCCACTGCAAATTTTGGCCTTCATCTCATAACGAAATAAAATATCCAAAGGCATGTAACAATATTGTAGTACTCTACCAAATTACACCTGTGCCAATCCCTATACTGAGCAAAGTGGCTAAAAAATTTTATTTAATATTCAAAAAATCACGTGACCGATAATTGTGTTTTCTCTGAAAATTACAATCCTAATTCATTGTGAATCTAGCTTTTAAACCAGAATTATTAATATTTTTACCTACCATTTAATCCATGTGTATGTATAAACCATTTCCAGAGATAGTCAATAATAATTATAAACTCTTGTTAGACAATTCTTTTAAACCATAATCATACTAGTTTCTTGTCGCCTCCATGGCAACCTGTACAAATAAATCTCAACAATAGGCATTCAAAAAAAATTTTAAATCAGCAAAAATTTATTTATATTTTTAAATATTTTTACCTACTAATCGTGGATAGATGTTTTTGTGCAATGTTAAGAGAAAGAAAATGTTTCCTTTTAACGATATATATCAAGATATATTTAAATGTTATTTTCTGGAAAACTTTAAGGATCATTGGATATTTCAACTTAATTCCTTCTTTCTTCTCTTGAGTCTTAACAATCTCCGTTCCTAACGTCGCTGTTTTTGTGTTGTCCTGATTTTCTTCTGCTTCTCCATCTTTTTCTGCAATAATTGTATCTCCTAAATCATGCTCTTCCATATCTCCCTGTCCTATTTGTTCTACGCTTTCATCATCTTTCTTATGAAACCAACTTCTTTTTACTTAACGCTTTACATTAAAGGTACACAAATGTTTACGTCACACTTGGCTATATTATTCTTCTTTAATTTAATCCAAGGTTCTGCCGGCTTATATTCTACCCCAATTTTTGAAACTTTATATCCTATCTACACCCTATTCTCACTGAAAGTATTATCTTATATCCTAAACTCTACAAACATCAGAAACATGTACTACATTCTTTATATACGAAAATATACCAAAATCAACAATTGAAATGAAAGAAACTGTAAACCATAGGTCTTCAACACGCGGCCCGCGGGCCGCCTGCGGCCCGCTAAAGCTTTTTCGGCGACCCAGCAAAAGCTTGGGGGATATCAGTCCAAGTTGAGCTATTTAAAAATAATCAACAACCAAAAATACCAAACGTGATTTTCTTTTATCAATTATTTTAAATTGCAGTTAAAAATTCTTCATTTTCTCTTACCTGCATTCTACTTTAATCCCTTAATAGACTGACTACGATTAAAAGGAAAATATTCTTATTTTTTTCTAAGAAAGGTAGTTTCAATTTTAATCCCTTAATAAACAACAATTGCAAAGGATAAACTTCTTAATTTTTTCTTAGATTGTACCTAATTTTGCCTTTAATCTCTTAATAAAAGGCAGTTAAAAGGATTACGTTAATAACACATATTATAAATTGGACATTTTTACAAACCCGACCCGACTGGAGCGTAGTATTTATTCCAGTCGGTGTAATTCGAACGCTGAACCTGCACACAACTCACACGTGTACTGTTATGACGCTCCCCGGTCCACCGCGAGGAAAAGTTTCGACAATCTCGAGACAGTCGTCTTGCCGGCCCGTGTTTGTGAACGACACACCCTTTGTATAATTATTCGCTGCTCCTACTGAAGTATCTGTGTATGTTTTTTAATTTTTTACTGTAACAAAAGTTTTTTGATTTATTGACTTTGTGGTTCGAAGACGACATCAAACGAGTGTGATGGCAGCAAGTACAAGTAGAAAACGCAAGGTGACAGATGAGCACCGGTCATTCCAAGAAAAATGGACAAATTTATATTTGTTTGTGTTGGAGAAAAACCGGTTTGCCTTGTATGCAATGAATCGGTCTCTGTGATGAAGGAATATAATATTAAACGGCATTATGATTCCAAACATTCAAGTAAATTTGCATATTTTCAAGGACAGTTACGTCTTGATAAGGTCGAGGTTCTGAAAAAACAACTTCAACGACAGCAGCATTCGTTTCACAAACAGAACGAAGATAGTGAAGCAAGTGTAAAAGTAAGCTACATAATTTCAGAGAAAATTGCATATAAATCAAAACCATTTACTGATGGTGAATTCATAAAAGAATGTATGGAGGCAGCAGCAGACGTGTTATGTCCCTCGCAAAAGCAACTTTTTTCCAAAGTAAGTCTGTCTGGTGTTACAGTTGCAAGGAGGGTAGAAGAATTGGCAGGCGATATTGAAAAAACATTAATTCGCATTTTGTTTACTACTCCGTTGCGCTTGATGAAAGTACAGACCTAACAGATACCGCTCAGTTAGCAGTGTTTATACGCGGCATTGACAGACATTTTTCTGTTACTGAAGAAATGGCTGCCTTAGTTCCAATGAAAGACAGCACAAGAGGATGTGATTTATATGAAGCGTTTAATACCGTCTTAAATAGATATAATCTGAAGTTAACAAATTTGGCTGGGATATCCACAGACGGCGCACCGGCTATGGTTGGCAAAAATGAAGGACTTATTGCATTAATAAGAAAAAACAATCCTAGCATCTCCTTCCTCCAATACCATTGCATCATTCATCAACAAAATTTATTTGCAAAGACTGTCAATATTCAAGATGTTATGAGTATTGTGGTGAAAACAGTTAATTTTATCAAATCTCGGGGCCTTAATCACCGACAATTCCAAGATTTTTTAAAAGAAACGAATGCTGAATATGGTGACGTTATTTATTTTTGTGATGTTCGCTGGCTTAGTAGAGGAAAAATGTTAAAACGGGTATTTGATCTGAGGAAGGAAATTGCAGCTTTCATGGAAAGCAAAGATAAAGCTGTTCCTCATTTTACCAATGAAGCATGGCTGAGTGATTTGGGTTTTCTTACAGATATTACATCACATCTAAATGATTTGAATAAGAAACTTCAAGGAAAAGAAAATTTAATCCATGAGTTATTTGACTCCTTGAAAGCGTTTCAAGTAAAGCTGGACCTGTGGATTAATCAGTTCAAAAAAAAATGTTACCACACATTTTCCTCATTTGTCATCTTGCCAGATAACAAATATGGACAAATATATTTCTGCGCTTGAAGATATGAAAACACAGTTCGACTCACGTTTCATCGATTTCCGGAAAAATGAGCAGTGCCTGAATTTGTTTGCTCGCCCATTTAGTGTTTCTGTCGAAGATGCTCCTGAAGAAATTCAAATGGAATTGATAGAGTTACAGTGCAACTCTATTTTGAAAGAAAAATTTGACTTAGGACGGCTTGAGTTTTATTCAAAATATGTCTCCATTACAGATTTTCCTAAACTCAGAAATCATGCACTGAAAATGACATCACTTTTTGGCACCACATATTTATGTGAGCAATTGTTTTCAAGAATGAAATGCGTGAAATCCAAGACAAGGGCCAGAATGGTCATCTTGAGAACAGTTTAAGAATTGCAACGACAACCATTGGGGCAAATATTGACAAATTAGTTAAAAACAAAATATGCCAAACGTCTCACTGATGATTATTATTATTATTATTTTTTATATTTGTAATATTTTTTAATAAATAAATTTGAATAATAACAACGATAATTGTTTTTTTTAATAAAAAAATTGTCCCCAATTACCGACTAAAATACAGCAAAACACTTATTTTTAAAAAATAACTGTTAGATGGAGTTATATATTAATTTCCGTGGGTAAATGGGCTTGACACCAAAAAAAAAGCGCCTTTCTTATGTATGTTTGACTTGGGTTGCGGCCCGCCGAACCAAAATCAAAATATTTTTGGCCCTAGATATCAAAAAGGTTGAAGACCTCTGCTGTAAACAATCCTACCAGTTTTCCTTCCAAATCCCAGATTTCCAAAAATCAAGAAATTTCGATCTTTTTTTAAATATTCTTGCTCCACATTGGCGGGCGACACCTTGATATGGAAACACCCAGTATTCAATTTTTCAAAATTTTTATACTTTAAAAGAGGATAGTTCGGTTCTAAAAATTTACATATTATATATATACAAAATTTTCTAATGGAAAAATAAACACATTTTTTATTTCTTCATTCTTATTTTTTTACTTCCCTGCTTTTTCATTGTCTCCTCTAATCTACTTATCCCCTATCTGCTATCCGCAACTCCCTGTCTTTCAACGTGTTCATCTTTGCTTCACCTGTCTTTGTAATCTTTGCAATATTAAAGCTTTTAACATCCCCGACTTTTTTAAATTTCCCATTGACAATTAATAATTTTCAACTGACAATCGCTTCCCTATCCCAGAAACTTCATCACCCCAGCATAATTCAATTTTGATAACAATTTTGATTACACCAGGAATTTTCATATCAATAAATTTAAATATACCCTTGTATATCAATTGGGAAGTATGAATAATGTATCACTAAATTATCTCTACAAGTATATAATTATATGATTTTAATAAACGGCGCTCAATTCAGTTCAAGCTGTTCTAGTGAAATTATCATTCTAACTACTGCAAAAATAATTTCTTGAACCACAATGGCCTTGAATAATAAATCTCAATTCGACTTTCAGAATTCGTTTAAAGATGATTTTTTTATGCTTAAGTTCTTGGGAATGTATTTTTTAAAGGAAAAACTAAAACAAAAAATTTATTGGTTTGTAGTTAATTTTCCACTTGTATTTGTTATCAACTTAGCCCAAACAATCAACTTATTTTATTTGGGGTCCAATTTAAAGGATATAGCTAGATCTGGTTATATAGTAGCCATATGCTGTATGGCAAGTATTAAGTCATTTTATTTTTTTAATCACAGGGAATTACTTACAAGTATGGAAAATGAGTTAAATATTGACAAATTTCAACCAACAGATCACAAGGGTTATATAATAGCTACAAAAACTTTACTTGCTTACAAGATGATAAAGAGAATACTTTTCATTTTATGTTCATTCGCTTTACTTGGATGCTTGGCTAGGCCAATGTTTATTAAAGGATCGGAGCAAATACTGCCAATGGCTTCTTGGTAAGTATAAAGCAATATATTAAAAATGGGACACAAAATAACTAAAAATGTTTTCTTTAAAAATAAGACAAACGAAACATGCTTAGATAAAATATTACTAGTTTCCAAAATACGGGGTATTAAAGTTAATAATTTAAAAATGATTAATGGTATATTTATTTTTATTTCTCAGTAAAATTTTACTAAATTCGGTAGACTTTTTCATATACCTTTCAATAAAACCACCAGTGGCATACGGTATGGGTAAGTAACACTTCATCTTTTCTAAATTTTACACCACGACCCAAAACTTATTTGGACTATACTTTTACATTTTTTGATTTTTTTAAATAAATCATGTACTCTTCTAGGGAATTCAAAAAGTGGTTGGTTTTCGAGATATTCACACTTAAAGGTGGATATTCTTCATTTTTGAATTTTGTAAAGTAGAATACTACTTCAAAATTTAGGAAAAATTAAAGCAATTTTAAGTCACATTTTCCTAGTTTACAACTTACAATTACAATAATCAAGTTACATGAATTCTTATTGCAAGTAATTGCTGAAAAATGGAAAATTTTACCTGTTTTAAATAAAAAATATTTGTAATAAGTTTATTTTATTTATTACTACGTTACATTATTCAGTGTTTCTACTTAAGTTGGCACCATATGGAAAACTTTTTTATTATTGGTTTTGTGACAAAATTTATTATTGATAAAATGTGCTGCATGGTCCAAAACTTAAAATGATAAAATTTGATATTTGATGGTTGAATTTCAGGTTTTAGACGATGCTCGTTTTTATAAAGAATAACTATTTCCTAAAATTAGTAATAAGAAGTTTTCCGTATGCCACCAACTGTCTACGTCGGTATATGAAAAACATAGTAAACAGAGAGATACTATGTTTCTAAAATTTAATAAAATTAACTTTAAAAAATCCAAAATGTACAGGACAATCCACAATTGTAGAGTTTTCTAGGTAAGAATGAACGGTAGCATTATCATCTAATTGATCATTTTCTAATTTCTCGAGATTTCTCACACCGAATTGTCGTTATTTTCAAGGTCCCTATTAAAAACATCTATGTAGTCGAGTAGAGCCTTTGAAGTACCTGACTGATTTTCGGTTTCATTTAAATTTAATTGTATTCTAGATAAGGCGTCGCAATTTTTATTAAGAGTACCCTTTTTATATATTATTTTATAATCGTAGCGAGTTTTAGACGCCGCCTAACAAGCTAGAGTTGGGCTCATTCAGAGAAAACAACCACTGAATGGCTTTTGCGTCAGTGGCGTTTTAGTGGAGCTAAAAATCTCTGATTTATTTAAAGTGCGGCTAGCATAAACTACTGTAAGTTGCTACCGATTTATCCTTGGATTAAAACAGCCTCTATTGTGAAATTACTTGCATCTATAAAAAGATTCAACGACTGGATAGGTTCGTTGATTAGAAGTGTTTTACAAAGTTAAAAAAATAGTTTAGATTTGTAGTATTAATTACAGCTCCTTTCTTTAAACGTTTAGTTAGCGATAAAGTATTTCTTGAGAAATGTTGAATGAACTTTTCGTAATATCCCAAAGAATCCTTTAATTTCAGTGGCATTTTTGGTAATCGGATATTTTTAAATAGCGATTATTTTTTAAGGGTTTAGTTTCACACCTTCGGGGGTAACAATGTGACCTAAATATGTTAAGAATTCACATTTATCCAACCATAATTTAAAATTTGAGTTTCTTTATCTATCAATCACTTCTTTTAAGCGGATAATAGGTTTGTTCCTACAACAGTCAGAAAGAGTCGGTGAACGTCAGGAGTGTGCGCAGTCATAATTTATACATTCCATCAAACTCCACAGACACTTCTGATTCTGTTTTGGTTATCAATTTCTTGTTCCATCAGTTAAAGGGATTAGTTTTGTGATGGTCACAAAAATTTGCTAATAGTACAAATATTTAGAATCCGTCGCAAGCGCATTATCAATTCGGATTACGTTGTATTTTCGAATATAGGTTATTTATTAAGTTATGTTGTTTTTATTTGATATTTATGGTGAAATCAACGGTAATTATAAAGATTAGACGAGAATGAGCGACCTATCTGATGAAAGTTTATCAACTGCATCAAGTGAAACAGATTCTAGTTTTGATGAACTTGAGGAATTGTTAAAAATTAGGCCAAAAAATCAAAATTACTTTGAAGAAACCATAACAAGTTACAATGAGCAGGAATTTATGGAACATTTTAGGGTTAGTGGTAGAATCTATCACTGAGCATTTTGCAGCTAGCAATTATTTTAAAATACAAGGTGGCTGTTATGGAAAATTAATATCCCTGCAACAAACTTTTGTATTCTTATGGTTTGCTGGACATCAGACTGCTAGTTTTAGGGATGTGGCTGACCGGTTTAATATAACCATCAGTAGTTTATACGGGGTATTGCGTAGAGAGATGTACTTCCTGAGCAATGTCTCAAATCAATTTATAATTTGGCCGAATTTTGAAGAAAAAATTGAAATTGAGACAGAATTTCGACAAAAAGGATTCCCTGGAGTGAACAGGAAGGGATTTCATTCTATACAGGTATATTATCTATATTTTACTTCGTCTGAAAGTTTTTTTTACTATTTAGGTAAATGATATGATCAATTTTTTATTGCAGATGCATGTTGTATGTGACAACACTATGCGAATTAGAGATATCTTCATTGGATACCCCGGTTCAGTTCATGATAGTCGTGTTTTGAAATCATCTCCACTATATGACTCTACCAGAAAAATGTCATGAATTGTATATATTGGGAGATAGTGAATACTAAAACACCTGTTAACACCATTCAGGGATAGGGGATAGTTAACTAGAGCCCAAAATAATTATAACGTAACTTTGTCAAGAAATAGATACATTGTTGAACATTATTTTGGGCTTCTAAAACAAAAGTTTCGACAATTATACCACGTTAAATTAAGGAAAATAGAAGATATTGTGCATTTTATAAGAGCGTGTTGCGTTATGCACAATATAGCATTAATTTAGTAATAGAGGAATTAGAAAGAAATGAAGGTCCCTGTACGATATAATGGTATGAATGATCCAGATGAGCAGCCAGAAGATTGAGAGGGGGATTGCAAGTAGGAATGAAGTAGTAATGATATTACAACGATAATTATAACAGAAATATAATTTTTTTGAGTACACTTATTTGGTTTTATAATAAAATGTTTGGAATAGCAAATTTTTGTTTCTTTAAACAGTTGCTTATCTCACCCAGTCAATATTTCAAAATTGTATACACATTTACCTAGTATTTAGAGACATAAATTACAAATGGAAACTTGAAATCAAACTATATTTTATGAATAGAAATTATTTTATTTTTTAAGCTATTACATAGCTTTTATCGCGGGCTTTGAGCGGGGCGACCGAATCAAGAAAAAAACGAAACCGTAACGAAAAAAACCTAACACCCCCCCCCACTCCGACCGGCACAGCGGTGCGGCGTTAAACAATATTAACTTCTCATTTATTCAATAAAAGAAAATCGAAAAATCGAAAAACCGAAAAATCGAAAAATCCCAGATACTTAGAGGATATCAAGTCTCAAACTTATGTTTCTTATTTCAGTTACCTATAGTTTCAATTATAAAAATTCCTGAATAACTTACATGTATTGTAAGATAATAAAAATATTTTAAACAATATTAACTTCTCATTTATTCAATAAAAGAAAAAAATTTGTTTTCTTATCGGTCACCACGCTCAAAAAGTGTAACTTGAATTAATATCAAAGAAAAAAAAAATACTGCATAAATAAAATAAATAATTATAATTGCATAAGTTGATAAAAAATGCTATGCAATAGCTTTACCGCGGCAGTCCCCGAGTGCCACACGTATTTTTTCTATAAAATAAATTAACTCTTTGAAATAATCAGTCTTCAAACAAATAACAAAACTAAAAACAATCTTAGAAATATTCTAAATAATCTACTTAAGGTGATTACAGCACCCCTTAAAATTTTCGAACAAGCATATCTCAAAAAGTAATTTTTTAAAAAAATTAAAATTTTGGCAAAATCAATGAGGCAATAATATGTAAAATATGCATATATTTTAAAGTTTTAGTTCTTTCCAGTTTCCAAGAAAAAAATCAAAGGGCTTTAAATTTTGAAATGTCATAATGAAAATAAATGCATTCCTCAACAGAACGATTCTTAATCTAATCCCCAAATTTAAACTCTTAATCTCTTGGTAATGATTTTTTAAAGTTCGCCGAAAATGGTGGCTAAAACGCCTCGTTAAGTGCTATTTTCTGGTTTAAATTGGTGTAAACTGGTGTAAATTATTGCAAGAAACGAATGATGACTCAAGAGTGTACGATACGATAGTTACAGTCGCGTTACACCAGAAATCAGCACTTAACGAGGCGTTTTACTCACTAATTTCGGCGAATTTTAAAAAATCATTAACAAGAGATTAAGAGCTTAAATTTGAGGATTATATTAAGAATACTGCTGTTGAGGAATGCATTTATTTTCATTATGATGCCCTTTGATTTTTTTTCTTGGAAACTGAAAATAATTAAAACTTTAAAATATAAGCATATTCTAGATATTATTGCCTAATTTGTTTTGCCAAAATTTTAACTTAAAAAAAAAATACTTTTTGAGATATGCTTGTCCGAAAATTATAAGGGGGTGCTTACTTACCTTAATCAAACAGTAGTTTAAGTAGATTATAAATCAATAAAAAACAAAAATAGTTGAAATAGTTTTAAGTTAATAATAAGGAGTAAGTTAATATTAATCTGCAAAATTTCTAATAAAATCAAGTTTGTCATTTTAATAGTGTCCACTATGAACATTTTTTGGACATCCATTGGACTTCCTGGAAGGGTGTATCTATCGGAATAACGGGATAAGGATGTCCGATGGATATCCACATAAAGTTCATGGACATTCAGGACATTATTTGGATGAAATATGGACGTCCAATGGACGGCGTGTGTTATCTGGGGTCCCTGATGATTATGTTCACTACCAAGTTATCTTTTTTATTTGTAACAAATATTTTTGTTAAGCATTTACATCTTTTACACAACTACAATTTTATTTTTCAGGTATCCGTTCGATGTTTCCACTTCACCAGTTTACGAAATTGTGTATCTTCACCAGTGTATATCGATATCATATATTACTTATATTAATATTTATTCGGATTTAATGGTAGCTGCATTCAGTACCTTTATTGGTTTACAAT